GCTTAGTCACAAAAGTAACGTATATGGGCTTCAAGGAGCTGAGAGTATTCCCAGAGGGCTAATACTGTGAGAACTGCCCAGATCTTAGGGAGATCAGACTACACACACACACACACACACACACACACACATACTTTCTGCAGGCTGATTCATACTGTGTAGTCAGCTCTGAGAAGTTAATGGTTCACTCATCCTGCTCATTAGGGCAAGAACACTACTATTTGGGACATAAGAATAGGGAAGACTAGTCCTTCTGAAATGCTTATCTTGAAGCATATCAGAAGGTCAGGGATGAATATTTGAAATCATTAAAATATTCTCTATTTCACATATATACTCTATCAGAATAGGGAAGACTAGTCCTTCTGAAATGCTCATGTTGAAGCATATCACAAGGTCAGGGATGAATATTTGAAAACATTAAAATATTCTCTATTGCACATATATACTCTACAAATATTAACAATATTTTTCTTACAGCATAAGCCACTCAGCCAAAAAAAATAAAATCAAGATCATAAACTTGACCCTTTGTCCTAAAAAGGCATCATCTCCCTTATTGTCACTTTACAGCTGCGATATGGACAGCAGTCACTGCAAATCTCATAGCTTACTTTGTAATTACAGGCAAATTGGCCTGACTCTCAATACCACACAGCAGGAGAAGGCATTAAGATCTTAAACAAGGCCTGGAGCCAAAAGTCTGCAACAGCTTGCCGTGAGACCTGCACATAGGTTGATTTACAAGGAGGTCTTACCACAATGGCAAGGTTTTGCCAGCTATGGAAGTACAGAAAGGAATTATGGATGGGGGGGGAAATAAATGGAGGGCTGAGTTCCTGGAGAGAGATAACTGGGAGCACTCAACCCCTTCTCTCACTTCCCAGGACATGTGAGGGGTCAATTCAGCAGGTAAGCAACAGATACAGGACAGCCTCCCGCTGGGCATGCAGGAGAAGAGAGCTGCTCTTCCAGAGGCTCTGTGGGTCTCAAAGCAGAGGAGGCAGGGAGGAAGTACAAACTCATTAGTGCTGTAGGAAGAGAAGACTTCTCCCATTGGAAGACCACAAGAGTGGAGTTAGATGGGACACAAACATTGAGCTGAGACCTGCAGGCAGGCTGATGGGAAGTGGGGAGAGAAAAGGCAAGGAAAGCAGGGAGATTAGGAAGGAAAATGGAGAAACCAGGAAAAAAAACAAAGGGGTGGTAGAAACTAGAAAAGGATATAAGTGGGAATAAGAGACGGACAAGGAGGGAAAGAACAAGTGACAGCAAGAATTAGTGAATGAAAGAAGGGAGCAGGTGACACGTAAGGAACTGCAACTGTTAGTGCTTCAGGAGCATTCATGGGATCCAGACAGGAATTTTATAGAGAATGCAAGTGACACTCCAGCAGGATAACCAGGGCTGAACTAAATATGCCAGTGGTCCCACTACTGCTGGAGGGGAAGGTCATTGTCATTTTTTTCTTTCTCTTAAGAGAAGAACCAGTGTCCCACTGCCCACATAAAAGCAATCAGAGTAACCAGTCTTGCTGCTGGTCCAACACACATCTATCTTGCAGCAGTAAGCCCTTCTGAAATGGCGAGCAGAGCAGACAAGGCGTTGCCTAGATCACAGCAAGAGAATATTTAACTCACTAAATCCCTCAAGGCTGGAATTTCCAGCTTAGGAAAAGAGAGGCCTTTGTTGTAACTGGTTTTTGAAGATTGCTTTAATGGGACACTGCCTGCACTTCCAGAAGCACATGCTTTCCTCTAGGAATCCAGGCCTGTGGAAAAGAAGGGCTCAGTCATTTTTTTTTACAAGGCCATCTTGAAGCAGAGAGTTTCAGCTTTTCCCAGGCCATCTCTTCTGGCTAGAAAAAGCACACATTTCCATAGCACATCCAGCTGACCAATACACAGGCACAATATTGATATTGGGAATAACATAAATATTTAAAGCACTGCATGTTTCTTCAGCCTCCAAAGTCTGTTAGATTTGCTCCCCACAGGAGACAAAGGAGCACAGTTGTCCTGCCCACTGGTGGAGACATCAAATGGATGAGTTCTTACTTGGTTTACTTTTTACCTGGAGAAACATCTTTTACTAAGGGCTGAGCACCCAGTGAGTGAAACAGTGTTTGATCACCCACCCCCCCAAGCCTGCTCAAGACTTATCAATGGTGTAGCAAGGGAGGTGAAAAGCTACCTCGATGGTCACCAGCTAAGTCCAACACTGCTCCTGCAGCTTCATGAGCTCCTCCTGCTGTGCCCTGATTTGTGAGGATGTATCCGTTTGCAGAGTTTGCAGAGGAGGTCACAACTCGGACCATTGTAACAGTAGGAGCTTGTTGAACTACGTGAATGGCATGACATGAAGGCTGTTGAGAAGTCACTATTGAAGCTGGCATGTATGCAACTGGTTTTGCCACTAGAGTAGATGGTCGGGGAGGAACAGCCATAATCACTGGCTGGGCACTGACTGGAGATCCTAAACAAAAGAGAGAAGCATACATTAATAGAAGAAGCAAAAATGTCTCCATTAATTTAACCTATGCACTTCTAATCTTCAATACTCAGTCCTTCAGCATTGGCAGGAGTATGCATAGGGAACAAAAAACAGGGCTTCAAAAATACCACCTTCAATCTTCTCTTTCCTAACTTACAAAACCCCTATTTGCCACCTGAGCACATTTCTGCGAACAAAAACCACAATAAGCACAAAAAAATTAGCTTTACTTAATGAAGTTTGCCTTCCAACTTCACCAGGAACATCCTATATTATTTTA